AGATAATATCAAGCTTATATATTTGGAGTGATTTAGTTCACAGCATGAATCAAGTTTCATGTTTCTACGGAGATTTATAAAGTCCAAAAAAGTAAAAAAAAAAAAAAAATCCACTCGACTTTATTTCCAAGTTTGATGACGTTTCTCTTCCATCCAGGAAGCTTTTTTAATTTAAAACAGTCAGGAATAGCGTTGAGTTCCAGGCTTTATACAGCAGCCCAACAAAGCCTTGTTTTAGTTTAGAAAACATGCAAATTGAAACAAACGAACGGGTCCACCCCTTTGGAACGGCGTCTTTTCTTAGCCTGAAATTCCCCATACCTGTCTATGTCTCTGTTGTTAAAGGGAATTGTTGGACTGGCTCTATTTCTGACATTTTGAATTGGAAAAAGCTTCCTGGATGGGAAGCGAAACGTCTTCAAACTTGGAAAAAAAGTCCAGTGGATTTTTTTTTTTTTTTACTTTTTGAATGACTACAACCTGGATGACTGAGAATCTTCATCAGCATACATCATTTATAAACTTATTTCCAGCAGGTATAAATCCAGCTGAAAACTGTTCATAAGTTTCTCATAGCAGTTTGGACACACCTCACGTTTTTGTAAATATCTTTTCATAGGATAAAAACCCAAACAAATAGATTAAATATATTGTTTCCTCTTAACGTCTGGAATCTGGAGTTCACCAGATTGCCTCTGAGCTGGTGGATGTTGGAGAACTTCTGCTTAGGGTGATCCACAGGGTTCAGGTCTGGAAACGTGCTTGGCCAGTCCAGCACCTTTTTCCTAAATTTCTTTACTGAGGCAGCGGCCATCTTGGAGGTGTGTTTGCGGTGGGTATTGTGTTGGAGCACCACTTTGCAGCCTGTTTCTGAAGGAAGCAGATTTTTCTCTGCTTTAGTTTGTCACAGAACATGTTGAGCATCATGGGTCCATCAGCGGAACCACAGCCAGCATGCAGCCCAAACCATGACTCACTCACCACCATGCATGGCTGTTGGTAAAACACACCTGTCTTTGAACTCATCACCTGGTTACCACCAAACAACTTTTCTCAATTTGACCCAAATCTGGTCGTCTTCTTACATCAGTCTGCTTTTCTTCAGCTACCTGTTTGTGAACCTGCTGCTTCCTCTTTAGAAAAGGCTCCTTCCTTCCTTCCTTGCTTCCTTCCTTCCTTCATTCCTTCCTTCCTTCCTTCCTTCATTCCTTCCTTCCTCCCTGGCTCCCTTCCTCCCCCGTCATTCCCTTCCTTCCTTCCTCGCTTCCTTTTTCACTCCCTCATTCCCTTCCTCCCTCGTTTTCTTCCTCCCTCCCTCGTTCCCTTCCTTCCCTCCCTCCCCCCCTCCTTCCTTCCTTCCTTCCTTCCTTCCTCCTTCTTTCCTTCCTTCCTTCCTTCCTCCCTCTTTCCTTCCTTCCTTCCTTCCTTCCTTCCTTCCTCCCTCATTCCCTTCCTCCCTCCCTCATTCCCTTCCTTCCTTCCTTCCTTGCTTCCTTCTTCACTCCCCTCCTCCCTTCCTCCCTCGTTTCCTCCCTCCCTCCCTCGTTCCCTTCCTTCCCTCCCTCCCCCCCTCCTTCCTTCCTTCCTTCCTTCCTCCTTCTTTCCTTCCTTCCTTCCTTCCTCCCTCTTTCCTTCCTTCCTTCCTTCCTTCCTTCCTTCCTCCCTCATTCCCTTCCTCCCTCCCTCATTCCCTTCCTTCCTTCCTTCCTTGCTTCCTTCTTCACTCCCCTCCTCCCTTCCTCCCTCGTTTCCTCCCTCCCTCCCTCGTTCCCTTCCTTCCCTCCCTCCCTCCCTCCTTCCTTGTTCCCTTCGTCCCCCCCTTGTTTCCTTTCTTCCTTCCTTCTTTGTTCCCTTCCTTCCTCCCTCTTTTCCTTCCTTCCTTCTTTCCTTCCTTGTTCCCTTCCTCCCCCCCTAGTTACCTTCCTTCCTTCCTTTTCTTTCTCTCTCTCTCTCCCTCCCTCCCACTGATAATTAATAAAAATATAAAATGATTAGTTTTTTTATAACTGTATTCTTATTCGTCTTGTTGTTCAGATATTTTCCCGCAGGTCTCGGTGTTTCTTTACCACATTCTGCTGCCTGTGTTGGTTTCATGTCTTCTTGTGGCTGTTTGGGGGTTTGGCTGCGGCAGAATTGCAAATCACCACCATCTCTGATTCACCCCACTGTGGGTTTACTTTAAATGTCAGGATTTCAGCAGCTTTCAGACCTCCATCACAGCAGCGGACCCCCACTCTGCAGGAATTTGTTCCAGACACAGCCAGACCACGGGGGGGCGAGGTCGTCTTTGTGGTGTTACAGAGTTCCCACTGGTCAGATATTTGACAGAGCAGGATGAAAATGTGGATTTAACAAATTATTGAGTATGAAAGGACGGTTTAGTGGAATTCAAGTTTCACATGAAGCGCCGGCCGCAGGAAGGAACCTTTACAGCTTTGGAAAGCGACAATAAAACTGATAATAATCAAAACAAAATGAGCCACAAACTGAACCAATGTTTTCCAAAACAAATTTTTGACAACGAAAACGAAAAGGGATCAAAACAACAGCAGAAAAAAAAAATCCAGTTATAAATTCAGACTTTTCTTATCCCCAGATTTTTTTAATCTAAAATTTTGTGGAAAAAGTCAAAATTTGATCATATTTAACTTTAGCCTCTATTTGTTTTTTTTACAGTTATGTTTGGTTTTCTATAGTTAAATAAAAACTGGTTGAAATTTTTTTTACCTCAGTTTTATTCCAGATAATACTTTTCAAATTGCAAGTAATATAAAGGTTGGACCTCATGTACTTTTCTTTGTTGAGTTTACTGCTTCAGTTTTTGACTTAACATACTTTAAACAAATGAAATAAAAATCACTTCCCTTACCAACTAAAATATATTTTTTAAGATATTATCTCTAGTTATGTTAGGGGATGATGAACAACGTGTTAACGGCTCACTTACCTATTAAAATGTGATAAATTCATTTAAAAGGACTTCATATTTACTCTAAGCCAATGTTATTATTATTGTTATTCCTTCTTTTTACCTCAAACAAGTAGGATGAGTTGTTGGAAGTTGGAAGCTTTAGGAGTCAAACTACGGGTCGGTCAAACCGTTTTAATTCCTGGTGAGAAGAAGAGCCCTCTGAACGTATTTGGTTTCAGTAGCGGCTGAGTTTTACTACAGCAGAGGAGACGTGTTGGCTGCTGCCGGCTGTTTTTCAGCCAGCGAAGTGAAGTCTGGTTGTCTTTAGCGTCTGACGGCTGCTTCCATTGTCATCCCAACACGGCTCCGGCTCTTATCTGTATGCGTGTGCGAGTAATGCGACCAGACAGGCGACGTTGTGTGTGTGTGTTTTCTAAACGTTTGTGATGAAGTGCAGAGTGAGTGTGTGTCGAGTCAGCCTTTTCCATCCAGCTACTCACTCATCCTGAAGTCTAATCCCCCTAATCCACCCCCCCATCCTTTTTTTTTGATTCCTCCCCCCTCGTTGTTCCAGTTCCCTTCCCGTCTCCCAGTCCTCCCTCTTCCTCAGATCCAGTTGCTTCTAAATGTAGCTACTTATTGTTGTCATGCAGATTAAATGTGCTGCTTTGCTCTTCAGGTTTTATTATAAAAATAAATAGTTTTTCTTTTACGCTTCAATCATGAAATGTTTTTTATGATTAACATTGTTTTTATGAACTAAGGTTAGCAAAATGTTTGATTAGCAACATTTCCTGAAACATAATTCAGAAGAAAGAACACTTTGACACATTTTTAGTAGATCAGATTGTTGTGAGTCTAGTCAATCATTTCTTAACATTTATAAAATATGAGAAATGGTTCTGCTGGAGGTTAATTCCTGTTAAAAGGGAGTTTTTCCTCTCCACTGTCGCTACGAGCATGCTTAGTGTGAGGGATTGCCTTGGAGTCAATAACCTGACTCCGCCAGATGGATTTGCTCCGCATATCCATCTGGAAACCTTCCATTGAAGTAATTTTGGGAAGGGGCGTGAATACTGGTTAGCTGATTGGCCTATGTTGGTGATAGACGGGCCAAATAAACCAATCAGATCAACGAAGCATATGACGTACTAACAGAGCGACGACGAAGAGGAGCCAATTGATAGATCAAACTCTTGCCGAAACCAGTCGGGAGAAGAGCAAAAACATCTCTTCCTCTGAGAAAAGCCTCCAGAGCAGTGTTTTGCTCTTCTTTCAGTGAAGAAATACTCTGTAATTCCGATAAAACTTGCTCGATAGCCACGCTAACGCTAGTTTCATCGGCTGAAGCCGCCATGTTCTTTAGACTGAACTGTCGCGCTTTATGCATTGGATCAAACTAGAATTTAGGAGCCATTGAAATCTGTTTTATTCTATTGCTATCGCAGTAATCTGATCTGTGTTAAATAAAGACATCCCGTTTCTTTGCAATACAATATATAGTTCTTACAATTATATATAGAATAGAAAATCCCTTTATTGTTCCACAGTGGGAAATATTGGACTAATTTAAATGTGATTTGTTTGTAACTTGGTTTGAGATGTTTGACAGTAAGGCAGATGTCTTTAGCATGAACCTAAAGGGAACTCAGATCTATCAGGTGTTAAAATTGTTGCTAAAGCAACTTATTTCCTACATTGGATTGTGGTCATGTAGTTACACAGTGTCCTCTGCCTATTTTAATACTCTTATCTGAGATTAAAGGAGCATCTTGATATTAAATAAAAGTGGCCCGAGAATGGAACCTTGAGGAACTCTAGCTGTGATCTTTGTTTGCTGAGATTTATATTTATCCAATGACAAAAAATGATCTTTTTTAAAAGATTTGGAAAAATGTTTGCAAATAAAAGTTAATGTGAAGTCAATGCATCTGCAGTTTAAACTTCCAAAACTTCCTAGTCTGAAACTGATATCAACCAGTTCCAGAGCTAAAACCTTAAAACCTGCCAGCATGTGAATAAGCATGGTGTCTTTGCAGTCTGAACTTCCTGTCAGTTTATTTTTCTTCATTTTCTTTCCTCCTCTCAGACGGTGGAGCGTGAGCAGGTGGACGGCATCCAGCCGAAGCTGCAGCACATCAACGCCGTGGGTCAGGGTCTGATCCAGAGCGCCGCCAAGCTCACCGACACCCAGGCGCTGGAGCACGACCTGGAGACCACCAACCTACGATGGAACTCGCTCAACAAACGGGTACGACTCTGAAAAACAAGATGTTTTGCTGGGATTTCAAGCCTTCATCCTCACAAACTGATTTAAATGAAACAACAGCTCTGCTCTCCGGATTTTTTTACTATTTAATAATTTTTTCTCAAAGTTTTCAAGTGAAATATTTCTCAGGTTAAATGGAATAAGAAAATCCAACGACATCCACAGTAAAAAAGAAACGTTTAAATATGATTCAATAAGATAAAAAACAGGATCAAAATTTATTCATAAAGGAAAAAAAGTGCTGGAAAGGTTTATTAACTTATCATAAATTCAATTAGTTCAGGGGTTTGTTTTTGTGCATCTTCTTCATAGCTTTTATATTATACTTAAGTGTCTTAAAAGTAAAAAAAAAAAAAAGTATGTTGTATCTTTTTGTCTATTTCTCAGGTTGCGGAACGAATTGCTCAGCTGCAGGAGGCCCTGCTGCATTGTGGGAAGTTTCAGGATGCACTGGAGCCTCTGCTCAGCTGGCTCAGTGACACAGAGGAGCTGGTAGCCAATCAGAGACCTCCCTCTGCTGAATACCGCGTAGTAAAGGCGCAGATCCAAGAGCAAAAGGTAAAACAATGGAATGAAACTACAACTGTTAAACAACAAATGCATTTTTAAGATAATTTATTTTTTTAATAGATTTTTGTAAAAGAAAAAAAAAAAACACTGCCTTGAATCAGTTTCCAGTCTAGAAAAACATGTCTCCTTGTTTATCATCACACATTTCCTGTGTTTTTGCACATGCATGTCCTGAAGTCAGAGATCAGTAATGCTTTTTTACGTCTGTGACGTAAAAGTTTCACCTTTTAGCTTAAAGACGACAAAAAGTTTAGGGCAGATATTCAGTTTAGCTCGATATCTGGTATAGAATAATATACGAGGTTTAATAATCTGATGAAAAATGGGTTCATTGTCGTGGAGAAAATGCAAGTTATTTCTGGGTTGCACAACAAATGAAGTAAGCTTCAGTTCAACTGGACAAAGGCTCTATTCAAGGAACAAAAGTAGAACCAGACTTTATGAAGCAAAGACAAAAATAGGATGATAAATATTTCACAGGAGGCATGTCTGTTGTCCATCTGTGTTTTTGTCTTAATTTCAGCCATTCAATAAGAGTTAAAACTCATCTGGTTTCACAAACAGTTTTTCTTTCATGTGAAAAGCTCTTTGTAATGAAATAAACGGTAACTTGCAAGGTAATCATTTTGAGCTTCCACTTAATGCAGTGGTTCCCAAAAACAACAATCAGATGAAACCTGAGAGGATCGTTTAAAGTGTGTAAATAAACAGCCCTTCCTCGTTTATTCAGCTTCATGCAGAAATGTGTGCGGTTGTTCTTTTGTTCCTGCAGCATCGACCTGATGCAGTTTTAGTAAAGACGGTGTTAGCAGACTATGCTGAGAGCCCAACTCTTACAGGAGCCTCCAGTGATTCCCAAAGCAGGGCCAGTTTTTCACCATATTTCAGCTCAATTCCTGCTTGTTCAATGATTTTTTTTATTCGCATTAATGAGTACTAACTTGTTTTTAGGTATTGTCTACATGCAAAACTTATTTTTGGTAGCACTTGTTGAAATTAGGGGTGTAAATCACATCCATCATGTCGATTCGATTCAGTATCGATTTCCTGACCCAGCGATTCGATTATTTTCGATACCCAAGAATACACCACGATTCGATTCAAATAATCGGTTAATTATTATTTTATTTTATTATTATTTTTTTTACCTTACTTTACCTGTAAGTAAGGTTAAACTTTAACCTTACAGGCTTAACAAATTTCAAGTTTGAAATAAATCAATGAAAGCTGTAATATAGTTATGCATTATTATTTTTTTTTTAGAAACAACAGCAAATAACAGAAGTACAAAAGTTGCATCAAAAAATACTGCAAAAATACTGCACATAATCAGTGCAGTGACTGCATTTCAATACCTCGGCTCCAGACGTCCCGCCCCCTCCACAGACGCTCCGCTGCTCCTCTCCCAAATTGTAGCTGACCGCAGACAGTGCCGCTGACAGGAGGCTGGCTTGTTTTGTTTTTATGACCGAAATTGCGGAAAACAACTCGTGAAGTTT